GAAAAGCCAAAACTACACAGAAACTTTGAAATAAACACAAGAGAAACATAAAAAAGCAAACCTAAAAGAATAATCATTAAGGATAAACTTGCTTACATTCTAATATGGAGAGATGATGCATGTGTCCCCTCTGAACTCTATTATTATCATCGGAGATCACAGAGGAAGTCTAATTACACAAAAGATCTAGAAGTGTTTCTGTTGGGTTTTTTTTTTGGGGGGGAATGGGATAGAGGTGGGAAAGATTTTTATTTTTAAAACTTTTTTTTTAGAATAAAAGCTACTGACATAGCAGGTAAATTTTAATTCAATAGCAATCATTCAACAATTTGTTTACATGTGTACTATACAAGGCACTACACTGGGTGAGGGGGAATATCAAGACTAAAAACGTTATCTCCAAGAGTTAACTACCAGAATAGAACAAGAACTGTTAGGAGCGAAAGGGCAAGAATGACAGACAGAAACCTTATGGTGCCATTTTTAATGTTTGTTATTGTCCACAATATAATACTATGACGAAACTCCTTGTAACATCAAAAAATCTGCGCGGACTTGCTGGACCAACTGCATGGAACTGCCCCTGCAATGCTGTTTCACCTAATACTTTGCTTTTGCAGTACCAATGAATAATCTCCAAAATTTTAGGTATCAATTTTGCTAGGGATTATTGCAGTTTCTTTTATCTTCAAACAGATATTACTTTGTTATTCTCTTCTTCAAGGACTCCAACAATAGACTTTTATTCTCAGTGATAATGTTCTTCACATTTTCCTGCCATTAAACATGAAAAAAGCATTAGCTTTAAAAAGCCAAGGTCTCCCATTGCATCCTATGCCATCTCCAGTCGTTCTGATCTATATCTGGCCACTGGACCCAGATGGCTCCTGAGGAGAGAGTGAAGCTGGTGTCCTTGCACAGCCCTCCCTCACTTAAATCGAAGTCTCTTGCATGTCACAGCATCACCTCCCTGATGTCATGGTCCTCGAGAACAAAGGACAAACAACATTCTGAATGTTAAGGAAAAAACCTATTTTGAGAAATTGTCATTTCTCTTAATAAATCTTCAGCGGTTCCCTATTACCTAAATTGTTCAAATTTATGTCCTGGCATTCAAGTTTCTCCACAGTCTGTAAATACCCTCCTCTTTTACACACTCCGCCATAACTTCTACACTCCAATCCAAGTAGACTCTTTTGTTTCCACAAAACACTCTTCCTTCAATTTCTGACCTTTTGAGTCTTTGTTCAAGCTATTCCATGTCATTCTTTTCTTAGGAAATTCTATGCACTTTTTATATACTCTAACTCAAATAAAAAGCAGTAGTAATATTTAAATAGTATTTTAAGGTTTGCAAGGCACTTGTTTTTTTTCTTGACCTTGTTATTTTCTTGTTGATTCCCACAATAAACCTGGGAGGCAGATACTATTATTATCCCCATTTTAGAGACAAGGAAACTAGGGCAGAGGTTAAGTGACTTGCCTAGGGTTATACAGATAATAGGTGTGGCCACATTTGAACTCAAGTCTTGTAGTCTGCAGGCCCAACACTATCCACTACACTACCTAGTAGCCCAAACCACGAAGATTTGATTATCAATTTATAATGACCTTTCCTCTTTGGACCTCACATAACACTGTTTTGCACCTATTTTTTTGTTGCTGTTATTTGTGCAAATTTTCTACCTTCTAGATTGTAGCAACCCTATCTTGGCTGTCCCTGAAAAGTATAGCAATGCCTCGCACTGAGCAAGTCCTTGATAACTGTTACCAATTTGGAAAACTAAACTTTAGGAGTGACATAGAGGCACAGGGAACTATAGTTAAAAGTTAAAAAGCTTAGGCACCATTCAATTTAGAGCTGGGTATGTTCTCTTTACATATACACTTCTGATTAGCTTAATCTGGCTTCTTATAAATTCATCCGATATGAGCCAAGAAAGCACTGTCCTGTTTACCTATTTCTATTTCCTTGTTTGTCTTAGTGAGGGAAAATCAGTTAACTAATTAGGAATATGATTGGAACACCAAAATTTCATTATACCATCAGAAGGTTCCCAAATGGCTAAAGTGAGCCTAGGATCAGAAGAATAACAAAGTAATATACTGGGAAGAGCACTAAATCTAGATGAAGAGGATCCCTGCCACTATTTTGTGTGTGACTTGTCTGACTTCACTTTTCTTAGCTATAAAATGAGGAGGTTGGACGGAATGATCTCTGGGGTTCCTTCTAGCTCTAAATCTGTGAATGGACCGATGAGCTGCATATATACAGTTCAAGTGGTCAAAACTCCCTAGAGATATTCTAGGAGACCCTCTGATGAGTAGTTTTCAGCCTTGAAAGGATTAAAATCAAGCCTAGGAAATTTTAGGTAAGAAACAGGTTAGAAAGCTCAGGTAACCATCAAAGACTTGTTAGCTTTCCTTTTTATATATACACTTCTAATCAGCTGACCAGGGTACATAGCTTTTGAATTTGCATATTTTCATTTCCCCTGTAAGTCCTAAAATGTGATTTTGAGTGTGTGGAGACAAAGGATAAAGGGGAAAGAGGAAAGTGGGTGCTGAAAAAGCACCAATGAACAGTAGCATCTACAAAACGGGGAACTGGCAATTAGGGTTTAAGTACAAACAGGTTTTGGGAACAAGGTACAAATAGGTCTTCTGGGCAGGGGGGACTGAGGAAGCAGACCCCAGTTCACCTGAAGGCCCAGGGCAAGAGATACTTCATGCCATACACACTGTTCCATCCAAAGAATACAATAAGTAAAAATAACAAGAAATTCCTGAATCAGCAGAGAGACACAATTTACAGACAAAAGCCATTTTGCAAAAAGGTTAAATGCAGAAAGACCATGAAGATAAAATGCATTTAATACTCAAGAGGCCTCCCGAGGTGCCTTTAATATACATAGAACTCTGAGATGACAAGAAAAAATTGTCCCCAAATAAATACACAGTGTACCTCAAAACACAATTCTTGTAAATGTGCTTTGTAACAAAGGTCTCTTTTACCCCAAAGATATTTTCTCTCTAAATAGCATCTTTAAGGAAAGAAAGGGAGAGAACAGCAGAGAACACCAATTACAAAAAGATACTGCATCTCTAATGGAATCTCAGAGCCAAGTTTCTGAAAACACCGTAGTGTGAATGAGCAAAAAAAGTCTTTTCTCAAAGATTATGGTAAATGGTCCCCAGCTTTCTTCGTAATAACAGCACAGTTTGGTCCTGAATCTTGAGTAACATCTGTATTTTGGGTACCATTCTGTTGTTATTGCAGATGGTGTGGGGGGAGCCTGAAGTACATTACAATTAACATAAAACACAAGCTGTCCATGACAAGGTCACAAATTGGTAAATCTTCTGTTTTACATAAGTGATTCCAATATAAAGTACCCATCATAATGGAAGGTCTGAGCTGACTCATTAGCATATTCACAAAATAAATAAAGCTTGGGTCTCAGAAAGGTTTTAAGCAGGTCTATTATGTGCCTTTTCATTTTCAAATGAAACTAGACACTAAACCTTTACAGAACTGAATTGATTTACCAGAGCTTGCTGCATTGCAAATTTTGTCCTTGGAATCAAAGCACCACATTTTTTTAAGCACCAGCAATTAAAACTGCAAGATGATTTTAATTTTAACCATGTTTTCACTCACAGTGATCTAAACAACACTCCTTTTGTCACTACCAAGAGACAGACTATTTAAATAGAATGTTAAACTCAAAATCTTCATTGCCTTTTATATGTACACTGATCAGTCAACTCTGCCTTTCAGAAGTACAATTTTTCCAAATTTTTTTAAAAAACACATTATTTACAAGTCTGCCCTATTCCCCAGTTATACAGCTTGTACTATCCAGGTAGTAAAATCAATGTTAACACCATTCACAGTTAGTACTAGGGAGGGGAGAATATGGAAAATTAAGTCCATAGAAAATCTATCAATCAAACAAGTCCCATTATGGTCATAAATTTCAGCCTACCTCTAAACCTCCAGCCAATATCGCTCTTAAGTAGCAAAACAGTCTCTGCTCTGGACAAGGTGACCTAAGGATGGCAGAAGGCAGGCAGTAGGGGTATGTGTCTACTTGCCAACTTCATTTAAATTTGTAAAAACTGGAAAACTGGTAGTGGAAGTACAGGAAGTTTACTCTTCTTACCCTTGACTGCTGTCAAATGATTAGCCAATGCTTAGATTTGAGCAGAAAACAAGCCGCATTAAGCAGCAGTAATGGAAAGAACACCGGACGGGGAGCTGGAAGACCTGGACTCGAAGGGCTGATTCTGCCAAGGACTCACCATGTGACGTGAGGCACATCTCTGAACCCCTCCTCTAAAATGGAGGAGTTGTAAGAGCTTCTCTAGGCACCATTTTTAGCTTTAATATGCTCGAAGTTGATAAAGGCCATACGCCACTTGTTTCTTTAAGTTTCTTCAATTCTAAGGAACTGCCATCTGTGACAGGGGCTGGTTAGATATTGACCACCTGGTGTCTACTCAAAGGACTGACTAGTTTTCATCTCTTTGCATAAGCATCACTGAAAGTTTGTGTCTGCGCTTCTGTGGTTATTAGTAGGTATAATGTGTCTTTTAGAAAAGTCTATATTATACTAAAGTATAATTTTTACAAATCTTCAAACCTCATATGCTCTTCCCAGGACCACATGCCCTGTACTTTACTGTCCAAAACAAATATAATTTCAAAAATTCCTTAACACCATTATAACTGAACTCCACAATCAAATCATTTTCCTGATTGTCTGAAATGCATTTAGGATGTTTCTCCTTGAGGGCTAACTGTCCCATTCTGGCCCAGGGCCACTAGTGCTTGGTGCAGTATATCTCTTCACACTGAGCAGGCAGGGGTAGTGTTTCCTGTATTTGGATAATTCAATGTTCTATGCACTCTCTTACTCACCTTTTTCTTTGTAATGAGGAGGTTGGCCTATATGAATTGCTTTTCAATTTTTCAAAATAAATGTCTACACAAGTAATTTAAAGAAACATAATACTAAAGTTTTATTCAGTAATCTGTGTGCATCCATTTCTAAACACCAAAGGAAAAGTACAAAACCTTACAAAAGCATTAACATAGACAGTGGGGACTTTCTACAATTAAAAAAAAATCTACAAATCTTGTTCATTCCACTATGGAATTTTTCATGGAGTAACTTTTAACCGTGAGATTATTTCATTCACAAAACTGTTATTTTGTGATACCACTTCAGCCTTCAGTTGTTTTAATTTGATTCTGATGCCTTCCTCAGACATTCCTGCAAAAGGCAATTCCTTTACCTTGGCCAGAAATGTCTCAATTATTTTTTCACCTTGCTGGGGGAAAAAAAAAAAGAACACACAATTAGACTTTAAAATATCTTCTCCAAATCCATAAATTGGGTTTTATTGAAATGTAATACCAAACACTCTACTCAATTCCTAGAGAAAATGCATGCTGGTGACTAGCACAGTTATCAAAGTCCTGGGCCACTTAATGAGCTCAGTATTTTCAGGTTAAAGGCTCATTTCAAAAGCAATTATAACTCACTTATGGCCCAAAGACTACATTTTTAGCAGTTTCACAGCAAAGAAGTGTCATGAGAGAAGAACTGGTTGGGAGTCGGAGAACCTGAGAATCCCAAATGTGTCATTTGCTAGTTGTGTGACCTGGCACAAATCACTTCACCAACTAAATCTAGGACCCCGAATACAGCACATTAAGGCAAAGAGAAGGAGACTATCTACAGGAGGTAAAGAGCCCCAGCAATTACTGAAGAAAATAAAAAATGCCTTCCTTCACAAAGGAACAAACTACTACTGATGCACTGAATCTGAGGAACAAGGTACCGAAACATCAGCTACATCGACTCCACACCACTCCTACCACTAGTAAAAGCAGAGTGTTTGAAAAGCATGTCAATTAACCAGAACATCTGGATTCAGCTACATAACGCATCAGTGCAGATCACATCCAATGTCTCTATCTCTTACCTCTCTCATTCTAATATAAAGAATTCTGATGTATATCATGTTTCTATCCATAGAAACAAAGTCATAAAGCTGAATACAATGGCCAGACTTTTAATTCTAAAGTAATACTCTATGACATCACCAATTAACGTCTGAACATGTAAGAATAAAACGTAGTAAGCAAAAACTAAAATTGTACCAAATGAACAGATATCACAAAATTATGTTTTTAATTTAGCTGAAAACCAAAACTATTTCTTGCATTTATTTTCATTATCAGTTTACTCTACAAGATGATACAGCAGTACTCAAAGTGTGGTCTAGGGACGCTAAGAATCCCTGAGAATCTTTCAGGGGATCTACCAGGTCAAAAATATTTCCATAATAATATCAAAGCATTTTAATTTCTAATATGGTAGATAACAATAGATACAAACCAGATAAACAAAAGCTCTCTGGGTCTTTGAGATATATAGACACACACACACACACACACACACACGTGTGTGTATATATACATACATACATGTGTGTATATATACATACATACACATGTATATATATGTAAATATGTGTGTATATGTGTGTGTGTGTGTGTGTGTGTGTGTATATATATATATATATTTTTTTTTAGAGTGGAAAGGAGTCATAAGAACGAAAAATTTGAGAACCACTGGATAACTCAATTGTACCCTCCTTTTCAGTGTGTGTGTATGTATGTGTTTCCATTCATGGAGCCTGGAAATACTCTGCCATACTCCTTTCTATCTAAATTCTTCCCATCCTTTAAGGTCTAGCTCAAGATCAAACTCTTCTCCATGAAAACGATGCTGTCATCATCTTCTTTTCTAAGTTATTGTCTCTACCAAATTAGTACATCTGTTGGATTCTCCACTGAAGATATACCAGAACATCTCTCAGTGGGGTATACAGATAACCCCTGGATTCTCTAAGGTCGCATTAATAGGTATAGTCCGACAGGGTCCATCACACTGGCAGTTTCAAGTACCGGCCTGGCAACAATCAGATCATGTATCAGAGAATCACTCTGCCTGAGCAACACTCTGCCTAAGTTCAAAAAGGCTTATTATCACCAAAAGGTGCATAGTTTTGTAAGCTTCTCTACTAAAGTATGGAGGGATTACACCCTATGTTGGTAAAGGAAGCATACCAATGGATGAAATTATAATGTTTACAATACTGTCTATTCCTTAGGGCAGTTTTGTTTCCTCACATAGAGATGATCAGCGCCTTGGGGGAAAGCACCCTGATTTAGTCCTCTTTAAGCACCTTCACCAGTGTCCTGGGCAGAGGTAAGTGGTCCAACCCACTTCTCACATCACTTCCCCAAGACCTTGCGTTTATTCTGTACAGATTTCATAGGTACTTTTCTATATATATGATGATTCCCTCAAAAGAATGTAAGAGGTTGTTTCATTCTTACTTTGTATCACTAGCACCTTGCACACAAAAGGTACTTAATAATGCTTGCTTAATTGATCTGTACCATTCCTTTCCTAACATTTATCTGGCTCACACTTAGATCAATGCAGGGGTGTAGCACATTTCTCCATTTCTGAAGTTTTCTTCTTTGTTTTCTCTTCCGAACACATACAGATCTATGAGAAGGAGAAAGGTAGGACTGCCCTTTCCTGAGGGGCTCCAGCCCTGCGTACTTTACTTTGGACTTGCAAACTGTCCCACAAGCAGCCTTCCCCAAATATGCACACTCTCCTCTCCCCTAGGCCATTTTCCCATCTCCCCCATTAGAACACAAGCTGCCTGAAGCTTGAGACTGTCTTTCACGTTTGTTTTTGTGTCCTCAGTTCTTAGCACATAGTGAAGCGCTTAATAAATACTTGATTTACTGTTTTATATATAGCAGATTCTATAGAAGCTAATCATTATTCACTGAAATACCTCATGATGGAAATAATCATGCATTCCGGGGTGGTAATATGGTGACTGTGGTGAACTTCATCATGCAGTTAGTCTTATCAGCTTAAGTAACTCGATCGACAAACTGACCAACCTCTCTCTCGCCGTAGCATCTCTTGGCTGCTGGTTCTGTTTCATCAGATTCTTGAGGCTTCCCAAAATGCTGGAATTCCTCTAGTTCCAGAGCCTTCTGTTTGGCATTCTCTATCACATGCTTAGGAAAATTAGCAAGCTCTGCAACATGAATCCCAAAACTCTGATCACAGACACCTGTAAGAAATCAGAGGGGCAAAACAGCAGCTTACAGAACTGGAATTAATCCTTCTTCACGTACCATTAGAAAATCTAACTATATATTAAAAAAGCTAGGCAATGATCCTGACCAAAATAAAAATGAGCTTTTAATTAAGCTTCCTCTAGAAGGCACAGGTGATTATGACTTAGCATTCATATCACCCTTAAAAACGATTAATGAGAGGATAAGAAACACCACCAAAATACCAAATCTCTTCTTGAGCACTGTCTCTGCGCTAAGTAAACAGCCAGAGAAAAGAGCTGACTTGCATTAATCCAACCAATGTTCCTAGGAAACACTTTATGAAGACCTAGTTGTAGCATCTTCATGTCAAGGAGGAGAAAACTGAAATACTGAGCTGAATAAATTATTGGTCCATGTCATCAGTCTGGGAAAGAGAGAGCACAGCAGGTGAGGAAGGCAGTCCACCTGAATCAGCAAGACCTGGGTTAAAGTCACTTAACCTTCTCATACCACTTTCCTCATCCATGGGTAGGGGGTGAGAAGTACCACAGAGGGAGAGACAGGATTGGAATCTAGAGCCTCCAAGTCTCCTCCAAGCTCCAAATCTATGATCTCCTTTCAAATATTACTTTATCTTCTAATACTAGTACACAGAAAAATAAGCATGTAGCTTCAAAAGTCTCAGGGGCTAAACTAGATGACTGATTACTTTTGAGAATGGAAGCTTCCTGTCCTAGTCATTATCATCATCATTACAAAATGACATCTAATGGGCTCATTCAAAATCAAATGCCTATCTTTTGGATATAATAGTGAACACTGTACTAAGCCCTGCTCTGATGCCTTATGATGGCACAGAAGTAACCCTGAAAGCTATGCCAATGGAGTGTAAAACTTGGTTTCTTTTGCCAAGCTGTCTTAGGGTAAAGTACATCTCACTGACAGAAAGGACAACCCAGTACAATACATAGATTCATCACAATAGATTAAAGACTTGTTGATTAAATTATTGGCCAATACAAATCATGAAACAAAGAAAAATAAAAAATGCCCCTCAGACTTGTGCAAGCCCCTTATACTTCCAATAACAGGCCAGAGGACATTAAGAATCACCATTTTCAACAGAAAGGTATAGATAATATAAGACCCATGCCTGTTTTCTGAAAATATAAAAAGTATTTGACTCAACAGGGCAAAACAGTCTTAAAAGTTCTCTAACAAGGAATCCAGCAATTAGACTATGAGACTTCTGAATAAATGTAAGGGCAGTGATAACTTTCTTCAATGACTTTTCTAATACAGTCTCGAGGTATAAAATAGTGAGGCATGCTTGCCAAAAGTTCATCATTGTCATGGAGAATGACTTGAATGGGATCAAAATGGGAATAGGGGCTCTTTATTGATGAAGGCCTCCAGACACTCCTACTCATGGATGACACTGTGCTGATGACAGCATGAAGCTCCAGAAAGAACATTATAGGGTTTCTCAATGAGATCCATGATTAATCAAAAGAAATAGGCCCAACAAACTATAAAGGAAAAACCAAATGAAGGAAAAATGCCTGTGACATTACAGTTGGGCAATGTCATGGGCATTTTTAACAGTCTATATACTATATACCTAGGAAAGGAGCCACAGATTGACACAGGACCCACAAAGGAATAGGAGAGTAGGCTAAACTGCACAGTATTTTTTCAATAACCTCAAGATGCTCCCCAACACAAAAAAACTGATCTTGTTAACATCACTATTCTCTCCAAGTGATGCTGTATGGCTAAAAATCATGAAACACCCCAATATCCAAGTAGTGAGTGATCCAAACAGCAATGGAGAAATGCATGGTGGGTGCAAGTAGGCTGCAATATATTTTTAAGAATGACTTACGCACAAGAATGATATAAAGGATATCATCCAGGAAATATAGGATTACAAAAGAAGAAGGGAGAGTCATATAGTGAGAGAGGGATAACAACGAAACGAGCCTAGAGGAAAGCTTCCAGCATACTGCATAGATTTTCTTTGGATGACTTATGGAAGAACAAAGATCACCTGGTATAACAAGGCATGGATGGGTTTCAATCTGGAATGATGGAAGAAATACCTGCATCAATGAGATCTTCGTTTCTTTGAGGTACCACAGTGTAACAGTGACGAGTAAAATCATCACTTGCCAATTTCACCAATTCTTGTTTTGGAAAGGCTGTTTTCTGGCATTTTGAACTAATATTTTTGTGCTACTCAGACACAATGTAATTTGATTTAAATTCCTAACAGACCATACTACCCAATTCATACAAGTCAAATGCCAACAAAAAATACATGTAATTATGTCCACAATATCAATTCAAGCACAGTCACTCATAAGGATCACCTATGAAGCATAAGTCACAACAATAGTGGGGAAAATGTTGATGATCTGTCTTCCTTTTTGGCTCGTAAATGACCAATAAAGAAATATAAACATGGCTATCTGATGAACAGATTGTAAAAGTATGATGACTAGTGAAAAGCTTTAAAGTACAACCTGGAATATTAACTTCATCAACGATTCTGGTGATCTTATTAGGTAATATCTACATCAGAGATGACAACTTTTACTGAAGGAATAGCATACAAAGGGCAAGTTATTCACTATAAGGGCAAAACAATTTCAGACATTTCTCTGCCTCTGTGCAGCTTTAACTGAATCAAAGAATGTTAAAGGATCATGGAAACAAAAATTTTACTACAGAAGAGCAGCTCTCAACATCTGAATTTGATGGTACAATAATAACTGTGGTTATTCAGTATGTAATTCAAATGAAAATTTGAAATTCACTTAAATTCAATAAGCAGTGAAGTGCTTACTATATACCAACATTAGCTGGTATACAGTAAGCCCCAGCAATACAAAGCCAAAACCAAAATTGCCTATCTTCAAGGATCTTATAATCTACTGGGAATACACTGATAAGAGAGGCTGTGGAACAATCTCTGATGGCTGAAAAATAGTCTCATCTTAATTATATTTTGGGGGACATTTGGGAGATTCTTGCCTGGATATAAAGGTTGGGTAGATAAATTAGGGCTCTGCCAAGTCCTCTTTTCATTTTTTCCTGTTAATCCTATACCCGGTGTTTAGCACAATGCCTCGCACACAGTAGGCGCTTGATAAATGTTTACTGACTAACTGACTGACTACTCCAAAACAATTCACATTTCCTTGAGAAGACAAGACAGTTACTGATGAGCTCACAAGAAGTCATTTCCCCTGGTCACAAAGGACACACAACAGCTTTGTCATCGACATTAGTACAATCTCACCTTTCTTCACTTGATATAGCATAGTTAACGTCTCATCAGTAGTTAATGCTGAAACGTGCAGATTATTCACTGTTGGCAACTGGTCAGCCAATGCTGTCAGTTCATGAAAATGAGTAGCAAACATACAGAAGGCACCTATCTTAGTGGCAATATACTCCGAAATAGCCCATGCTAACCCAAATCCATCATAGGTAGAAGTTCCTCTTCCCAGCTCATCGATGATTATCAGGGAATCTTTGGTTGCAGACCTAAAAAATAAAATTATATTAAGCTTTTCCATAATATAGTTTTATCAAGGCTAATACTTCTAGGTGAAAGACACATGTGGTAGGGTATACAAAGAAGCCATAGCACGTCCGCCCACAAGAAACTTACCATCTAGTTGGGGAGACATGATACACACATAAAAAGTAAGAGTTAAGACAAGAGAAGTGTCGAGGCAACATGTAGTTCACTGCCAAATGAAAGGCACAGAAAATAACTTCTGAAGGCAGCTCAGAGAAAACAGATACAATCTGAAGTTAGGATTATTAAAAACAAAAACAAAAACTCTCCTACAAGTGATAAGATTTAAGCTGGGTCTTAAGAAATAGGTAGAATCTGGACAGCTAGAGAGAACAGGGGGAAGCCATTCCAGGCAGACAGAACATCAAGATTAAAACACAGCAGTGAGAAAACACACAGTGAAACGATTAATTGGCATGTCACTGAAAGCCAATATGAGAAAGTCTGAAATTCACCACAAACCCTAAATGCATTTTCATAACTATTATACTTTCACAATAATAAAGATCAAAGAACACATTCTTAAAAATATATAAAAGATTCAGAGTTACTGGATAAAATAAATTCTGACAGCTATTTGAAGCTGTACCTTCAAAGAGGCTTTTAAAATAGATGGGTGTGAGTATATTCATGGGGAAATAACCCTTTATTCTTAACTGGGAGAGGGGGCAGGTCAGGCAAGAGGGGAAGATGTACCTCAAGGTCTGCAATATACACAGAGATACAGAGATGTCAGGGACAGAACATAAATCTATTTTAAGCTGTTTGTTTTACTTTTCCACAAGTCAGTAACAGCAATCTAGTATCTTGGTTTCCTTTAAAAAACCCTGAAATTCCTCTGAGCTGAACTAAGGGCAGAGGGATATTGGATAGGTCTTTGAGAGAAGAGAACAGGGACCAAGTATAGTACTTGAGGTGAATGCTCAGGACAGGGGGACCCAGGAGAGAGCTAAACTTTGTTTGCTTTATGCCTGTGGTATTCCCTCATGATATTTCCATCTTTAAAAAAAAATTAAAAAATCAGAACCCGAATCTGTTTACCTGAGAATAGAAGCCGTCTCTAGCATTTCTGCCATGAACGTAGACACACCTTTCAGCTGACAATCCCCTGCTCCAACTCGAGCCAAGATACAGTCCACAATGGACACTTCTGCTGAGTCACATGGCACAAAACAGCCGATTTGAGCCATCAGAACTATTACTCCAGTTTGACGAATGTATGTTGATTTACCTCCCATATTAGGGCCTGAAACCAAACGTTAAAAGTGAAACACAGTGCTGATGTCCTGCTGCTAATATGCAGAACATAGTAAGAATCCAAAAAAAAGGATAACTGAAAATTGTGAAGTGGGTAGATGAGACACAGAAGTCAGGCTGACTGGGAATTCTAGCTGTACAACTAAACGCTTGCCAATTCCAAGTTCTCTGCTCTAAGGGCAATATTGTGCAATGTGTCATCATCTGAAAGATTTAAAAAATTTTGTCTCACTAGAAAGAGTACTCTACAATTTAGCTAGTCTAGAAAGTCATACAGAATTTATCTAACATTTTTAAGATGTAAAGACTGAACAGAGAAGCAGCACAGATATCAGTAATTATAGACCAAGGATAACTAAAGAATGTTCTTTATGTAAATGGATACACAAGGACCCATTACTTCAAAATAGATAGGAAACCCACAGACCTGAACACAACAGTAGAGCATGAGCCCAAAACCAACTGCTGGAACCATGCATTTTTTCTTTGAAAAACAATAGACTAGGAGAGATGTCCTAAGACTGGAGATGAAGAATGACACCTCAATTTCAATGAGAATGCCTTTATGTACTAGAAGCTATCATTAAGAGGACTGCTTGTTGTACTTCTTAATTAAAATGACAGATCAAGGAAACACTGAACAGAGCTGAATTTCAATAATACATTTGACAAAGACTCTCCCATTCATCCTGTGGAGAGGTATGGACTATGTGAATGTGAAACTGGCTTAATGACCGACCCCAAAGAGCAGCCATAAGGAGTCAGGCATTTTGGGGAAAGGTCTCTGGAGTATCCCAGGACTTGTGTCCTAGATCCTGCTCAATCCTTTAACAGTGATTTGACGGCAAGCTTATCATTTGCTATGATATGAAGTTGGAAGGAAGAACTAATATCTTGGGTAACCAAAGCACTAATTCATAAAAATGCTCTAAGGTCAAAGGCATGGAATTTTTAAATACCTGAACATCCTGAAATAAGAATTCTACAGGAAAGCAAAATATTTTCTTACAAACTTGTAAAATAGTATTTCGAGACAACAATAAATAATATGCTTTTGTTCAAATGTCAAGAACTATAATTTTCTTAATATTTAATTTTCCAAAGAAAAGTTTTAAATTAATATTTCTTATTTAAAAAAAAAACCTGAGAAGTAATGCAACTTTTTACCAGTAATAATGTGGAACATCTGCTTATTTTTCTCAAAGTAAATGTCATTGGGAATAAACGCAACTTCATCTTGAACTTCAACACAAGCATGTCTGGAACCTTTCAAAATGATTTTTCCTTGTCCCTTTTCCAAAATGACGGGACGTACATATGGAACAGGTGCACCATTTGATACATGAGCAAAACTGACAACTGCATCTAGTTGAGCTAATACATCATTCAGTGTCTGCATTGGTTCTACATAGCCTGCATAAAAAACAAATATCCCCCCCCCCAAAAAAAAATGTTTAGTCATAAATATAGAACATGACAGCAAAGCAAGTAAAGAAACATAACTGTCCCAATCTGAGTTCAATTTGCATTTCTAAATTTATATACATTATCTAAATAAAGTATAAACTAATCAACTCTCCTATTTACTAGAATGATACTTTATTTTTTTAAAAAGCCTAAAAAATCAATTTGAAATGAAAAACTAAACTTTATCTGTTGCCCACTTAAGGAAAGACTCCCCTCGCCTCTTTCAGAACACATTTCAAAACATTAAAAAATTTTTGGTGATTACTGCTGCATGCCTGGATCCAGTATATATCATCAATTTGAGCACTCCTTCTGATTCAAACAACAAACGTGCTGGACATAAAAAAATGAAAAAGAATATCGCCACCTTCAAAGGGGGATCACCTCCTATTATTGTTGTCAGATAAATGAAAAGATGAGTATAGTAATATAAGGTAAAGTGTATTGAGGCATAAGGTGTATTGAGGCATAAGAGTCCAATCTCTAGGAAAATTTAAAGAGAGAAAAATCATTTTGAGGTGGAGGAATAATAAAAGACTTCATAGATGTCTGAGCTCTGTCTGTGAGGAAGAAAACTTTGACAGAAGCGAGACAGAAGTGAAAAGAGCATCTTCCAAGCACTGGGAGGTAGAAGGAGAGAAGGAAGAAGGAGGGAAGGGAGAGGAAAGGGGGGAAAGAAGGAGAAGGTAGAGAAGAGACAAGGAAGAGGAAGGACATCAAAGTCCTGAGAGTCGAACCCTCTTCATTTTACAAATGAAGAAAGTGAAATTTTTTGAGGAAATAAGAGGTCACATGATTTGCTCCCAGACGTCAGGTGGTGGTCCTGCAACCAGAGGACCGGAAGCCAGGTCTTTCTGACTCCAAGTGTAGCCACCTCTACTGGTAGGGCAAAAAGACCATTATCATAACAGGTCTTAAGTATATTTGAATGCTTTAAAAATGAATAAACAAACTTTGATTGGATAATGGCTAATACACTAGAGCACATTAATGTAGTGGAATATTATTGTATGATAAAATAAGATATGAAGGGTTTTGAGAAGCCCAGGAAAACAACATACACAGTGACTATAGCAATGTACAAGGAAAGAACAACAAAAAAAGGCAGAAAAACAATATTACACAATTATAAGAAGTAAGCCTGACCTCAAAGAAGAGATAAGAAAATGTCTACTTCCCTCCCTTTTTTGCAGAGGTGTAACATGCTGCAAAAATGAACAGACTTGGTTGCTGTGTTGATAAGTTTTACTAAAATGCTTCCTCTAATCTTTGTTAGAAAGATTAGCCCTCCACAAAGGGATGGAAGAGGGAGATATTTCAAAGTAAACAATTTAAAAACCAAAGATATCAATTAAAAATTGAAGAAAAAAAGAAAGTATATCCAGTTAAGACTATGATAATACCTTCTCAAACATAATAAAACTATAAAAATGAAAATAAACAAGAGTATCCAAAGCCAACACTCAACAAAAATCTGTTAATTTAACTTTTTAGAGAGACCCTGACTGAACGCTACCTATACAGGTTTAATTCAGGGAGGTCAAAATTCAGGAAATAATCCTGCTAGAAACTCACTGTGTAATAAAATTAAATGTCTATTTAATGACACTTAAAATGTATCTTTTCAAATAAGTCATTTTCACAGCCATAAATAAAGCATTTCAAATGGAATAACAATTAATATGTTGTACCTCTTCCTTCCTTTCATTACTTGTTTATTGAAAAAGTCCCTATTTACCCTTTTAGAATATTCAATAAAAGTTAAATTCTTAAGACTGGATGGGACAGGCAGGGATAGTGTATATAATTCTGCTGTTTAGTATAATACTCAAATATTAATGACAGATCCCAACTGATGCCACTTTCCTTAATTACAAAGTAACCATAGCTTTGAACTTAGTCTTCAAATCTTTAGTGAATTTTCAAATCTTCAGCTCAAAAGCCCTGCAGAATAGTACATCTGGCTGAAATAAAGTTTTCTCTTTTATGTAAATGACACACAGATTTCAGCTCTATATTACCTTCGTAACATTAAAAAGGACTGGAATTTGGCTGTATAAACTAAAGGTGTATAGCATCTGCCACAGAGTGGCTCTCAAGACCATTCATGTCTACAGAGTTTTCTAAGTACTTTCCTTACAACAACCTCTTGAGGACGATTGTGCAAGTGCTGCTGTACCTTCCAGTTTAAAAACAAGACAATAGAAGGCCTAGAGGTCATGGTACCTCTCCCAGGGTTACTCTGCCATCTTAGCTGGGACTGGTACCAAGTCCAAGAATTACAACTTTTAACACTGCCTCTGATGTGCTGGTGCCTTCAAGATTCCTATTCCACTAGAAATGTGTTACCATCAGTGTGGACAATCCTCCAGTGTGCACATCGCCAATCTATCTGTGCCACTCATGGCGTGGGACCCTTGTTCAAGGCCTTTCCTATATTTGAGGCAGGGACTTAACCCAATGTGCTGAGGGACGGTCTTGCTTTTCTTCCAATTTCCAGAAGACGACATGTGAACATAGAGACTTTCTACTGGTTATGCTTTCTTCTCATAATTATGCTCTTGATGTGTGTACAGATTATTATTAAAAAGTTTTTTGTGGGATTGTAATGTAGGCAGATAAAATTTCTTGTTTCACCTTTTTTCCCACCTGTTTCACAAAAGCCTGCAATCTTTCTACATACTTTCCAGTTTTCTCCAAAAATACTCTCCATTTCAACTGAATAATCTACCAAAAAGGAAGCTGCCTAAAAGTCAATTTTATCTAAAATTTCTCTCCAATCTAATTTTAGGTTTTTCTAAAACTTTTGTTTTCTTCTTACTAATACATAATACAAACTAAATAGTCACTGTGTAATTCAGTTATAAAACCTTCTCTTTGTACATAAAACTGAAATTTCTCCTGCTAAACGAAATTGCGTTTTGTATTCAAACAATTACAGGTATTGTTTTGTTTATATTTACCAGAAGAAATGTTGACAATTTCTTTAACAATGGCATCCTGGGCTTCCTCATACTCTTCTCTAATTTTGAGGTACTCATCATTGTAGGCAGCCAATTTGCTGGAAATGAAAATTAGAGAACTGTGAAAATTTTTTAATTATCTTTTAATAACTGTATTAATCATTACACTATAATCGCAATAAGGTTTGCCCAGTACATGGAGAGATGTATGGTCTAAGAAGACTGGAAAAGTGGGAAGGAAAGGACTTTGGCAACATGGACAGACCTTGACTTTAGAAACATCACCCTGACAGTTATGTGGAGGATTAGAGCATGGAGAGACTTTAGGCAGGAAGAACAATTCGAAGATAAGCATTTCATAAGACAAAAAGAAATATTAAAATAAAATCAAAAACCTGAAAAAAACAGAAAAAATGTAATGTACCTCACAGAAAGAACTGACCTGAAAAACAGCTCAAGGGAAGATAATTCAAAAATCACTGGACTAGCTGAAAAGTTAAGACTAAAAGAGCCCAGGCATCAGATTTCAAGAAATCATAAAAGAAAACTGCATAGATCTCTTAGACAAAGTAGAAATAGAAAAAAATCATTGGTCATCATCTCCTAAAAGAAGCCCCCAACTGAAAACTCCCAGGAGCACTACAGCCAAACAAGGAAGGGATGGATGGAATGGTTAATACTTGAGCTTCACTCTCACCAGCACTAGTCAAAGGAAGGAAAAATATACACACAGACATACATACACACACACATTTGGATACAGAAGTATATTTCACTCAACAGTGACAAAGGAGAGAAAGAAGAGGTAAGAGGATGGATCAAGGGAAGGATAAGACCTAAGCAAAACAAATCTAACTAAAGCTATATAGAAATATTCATAGCAAGCAGCGCTTTTTGCAGTGGAAAAGAACTACCCTCACAGAGCTGACAATCTAACGGGACAAGACAACAACAAAAAGAAGCTGAAAGTGGTGGCATGGGTAAAAGTCCAGAAGAATACAGCCAGATGGGACATAATGAGATGGCTGCCCCAGGTACCCTTTTTAAATGGAAGATCTAGGAGGCATTCTCAGCTGTCCCCCTTGTCCTGTCTCTATTCAGAGGCAGGGAAGGGCCTCTAGGGCAGGGGATACTAAGGAGGCGTGATTTTCGTAACTGATATTACCTTGCAGGATTATGAGATTTAATTTAAAGAAAAGAGAATGCACTAAAAGTTGTAAAATATCAATTCTATGACATGAGGAAGGCTGGTTTAGTTGTATCTGTGCGTGAGGAAAATCACTTTGAAGGATGGAATGAAGTGGGGAGAAACTTCAGGCAGGCAGGCAGGCAGACCAATTAAGTAGCTGCTGCAGTATTTTAGGTGAGAGGTAATGAGGGTCTAAATTAAGTTAGGAGCTGTGTAAGTAGAGAAAGGATCAGATGCAAAATATGTTGTAGAGACAGAAATACATAGACACAAAGTAGCTGAACCTTTGAGGGTATGACAGTAATAGCAGGAGGGACCAAAAAAGACCTTCTGAAGAAGGAGCTGCTTAAGCTGAGTCTTAAAGGAAGCAAGGGATTCTAAGGATCTGAAGCTGTGAAGGGAAAGCATTCCAAGCACAGGAAAAACCAGCACAACAGCATGAAAACAAGAGATAAGAGTTTTGTGGGAGGAACAATACATAGGACAGTTTGCCAGGAGCAGCATGTGCAGAGGGCAGCAGAAAGCAAGCCTGGATGGGTAGGAAGAGGCTTTGTTGTGAAAGGTTTTAAATGCCAAAGGGCTTTATATCTGATCATGGAATTAACAGGAAGCCATTGGAGGTTACTGAGGAGGAAGACAACATGGATAGACCTAGGCTTTAGAAAAAGCACTTTGGCAGCTATGTGGAGGATGGATGAAAAAGAGATAAAGCAGGAAGAACAATTAGAAGGCTGTCAGGGGAGGGGGAAAAGGGCGGGCCTGAACTAGAGCGGTGGTTGCCCAAGAGCAGAGAAGGGGACAGATGTGAGAGTTGCTGCACAGAAAGAAATTGTAAGTTTGGCAATTAATTAGATAACATGGGGTGAAGAGTCAACAATGACACTAACATTATAGATCTGAGCTACTGAAAGTTCAATCAATAGACATCTCAAAAGACAGGGGGAGAAATACTTTGACTGCAATGCACATGAGATAAACTTACCAATTTTGGTTAAGCTCATTATGAACCAACAATGTGGCCTTGCAGCCCAAAAGGTCATTGAAACTTTACACTACATTATCAGAGTATGTCTAAGACAAGTGAAGTAACAGCCCTCCTTAGCCCTAGAGAGACCACTTTTAAAAGTAATCTGCTAAATACATGGACCCCAAAAAATAATAAAATTTTAAAAAGCAAATTTATGGAGTCACATTTTAGAAGCAACATGGACTAACTGGAGTATATCCACAAGAGAATGACTAGGATGGTAAACAGATCTGGAAACTCATATGAAAAAAAAGGCTAACACCTAGAAAAGACTAAAGGAGGAATCAATTACTCTACTAGCTTAAAGTTACATAACATTTTTAGAATTTGCAAAAAACTTTCATCACAACAACTCTATATAGTACAGTAAATAAATTATTTCCCATGTTAAAGAAAAGATGGATCAGAGAAATAACTGACAGGGTTCACACCAGGGTCAAGTCTAGGTCATCCTGAGGCAATCCCAGGGCTCTTTCCACTACAGGGCCATGTGAAGCATCCCCTACAAGAAATATTAAAGCTTATTCTGCTGGGCTCCAGAGGGCAGAAACAGAATCAGGGAGTATCCAAGTATGAGACAGCTCTTGGTTTGACACCAAGAAGAACTTCCTAACAATGAGAACCACTGAAAATAGAATGAACTATAAAATGAGGTAATGAATCCACATCGGAAGTACAGAAACAGCTACTTTATCAGGAATGTTACACAGGGGGATCCACAAGATGAGAAGAAATTAGGCTGGAGGATGAATTTTAAGGGCTCTTCAAATTCTGAGATTCTACGGCAATTTATTGGCATGATCCTGCATTACAAGGTTTTTAGCAATCATGAATTAACGAAGTGGTAATTTTAAAGTTCACTGCCTTCTTTTTATTTTTTATTCAATAAACAATGGGTACTTGCTATATGAAGAAAATAGCATATTGGCTCTTCTACCTCTATATTTTAAAAGCTCACATTATATTAGGATATTCTATCCCCCTCAAAACTGCATATAGCCTTTATACTCTGCCTCAGCTCCTCTAAATGTGGACAAAGCAGCTATTTTATTTCCTTTACACCAGTACTATTTAAACTCAACTCTGACCTAACCTAACTGGCAATATTCTTTGGTTTTAGGTTCTCTTTAATCACATAGCTACATTTGCCAACATTCTTTCTTCACAGTGAAACTGGAAAAGGCAAAGCACTGAAGAAACAAAAATATACTGAAGAAATAACAAGATGACCCACTGCGGGTGAAAAAGATGAAAGATGACTGCCTTTGTCTTGGGCACAAAACACATTAGAGTAGTGCCTTGGAGAGACTAACATAGGACAATGATGTACATAGATGGCTTTCAGAGTCTTATGTCAATATAAAAATAAGGTACGAATTTAGTCAAGTAGAAGGATCCTGAATACTACTGATTTCTCAAAATAGAAGCTGGATATAAATTTCAAATTAATTTCTGGGGGCTGCATTTTTAAAAATCCATTATTACACCTCCTTTTGAATTTATTCAAGTTCCTAAAGAATGGTTAGTTTAAGGTACACTGATACATGAGGAAATATTCATGTCTGCTGAACTTTGTAAAGTTCGTAATAATAAAAAGAAAATTCTAAAAAAATCAAGTTCTGGCACCATAAAATGAGGAAACAATTTTGTTACTTAATCCCAAGACAACCTTGACAGTCAGCAACATGAAACAGAAGCACCGGCTAAAGATGCCAACACCAACCCCTTATGGGAAACAGCTTTGCAGCAGCATCATAGTCAATTTTTACACAGCAGGCAAACACTTATTTTATATATATTAATTACTTAGTCCTCACAACAATCCTCTGAAGTAGGTAGTTAATATTATTAAGTAGTCAATAGTTAATATCATTCTTTTATAGATCATTAACTGGGTCAGACTCTGTCTCCTTATCTCTAAAAGGAAGGAGTTGGACTCAATACCCTCTAAGGTTCTTCTAGCTCTAAATCGGAAAGAATGCTAGATTTGAAGCAAAGAGACCTAGATTCAAAATTTGACTCTCTTTTGCTGTTGATTCAGAACAAATTCATTAACCTCTCTGGGCTCCAGGTTCTTCCTCTAAGTGGGGATAACAATGTATCCACTATCTCACAGGGATGTTATGAGGAAAACATTTTGTAAACATTCAAGTGATACAGAAATGAATTATTATACTGACTGGTAGACTCAAGGACTGAAGCTGTCTATTCACTACACAATGAAAATTTTAGATGAAGGGCAGTTGGGCACAATTCCCAAAATTTAAAAATGGAAATTCTTATACACAATCAGATGTTTCCAGAGGGTTGGTGACCCCCTTTATTCCAATACAAATTCCAGACCCAGGTTCCCTTGGCCACAATGCTACGAGTGCTGCTCCTACCTCCATCACTAGTACCAGCTTACCCTGAAGGGATGTCAGTAGACTGAATGGAAAAGAAGGCCATAAGGGCAGCTGATCAAAGTTTGTAAGTTACTATGCCCACCTCCCACTTCCACAGTAGTCACCTCAAAGTGAGGAAGCACAATAAATAGTTTTAAATATCATCTTATCATTCATTTGCCACAGGTTGTGAACGTTCATAAATCATTAAATTTTTAATAGGACACAATAATGAAAGACTTTCTGGGTGATAAACAGTGTTATTAATTATCTAAGTCATGCTACTACATTAGGAAAATGGGCAGACATCGTCTCTTCAGTTACAATAAACAGAAACCATCAAAAGAGTTAAATAAAGCATAGTCACATACCTGTTGGTAAACTTAACACCATTCTTCTGGACATCTAATGTGTTAAAGTTTTTATTGCTACGAAGGACTTTTTCTTCCTTGCAGGTTACGCGAAAGTAATATCCCAACTGTGCATTGGAGTCCAGTTTAATGTGTTTACCAGCTTCTAAGCCTTAGGATCAGGTGAAGAGAAAGTAGACTTGAAACACACCCCCCCTTTTTTCTTTAACGTAAATGTGCCAAATATGAACCAAGACAAATATACCTTCAGTGTAAGACAGCAGCCTGACAAATCATCTAATTGTAAAATTACTCAAAGTCTTCTTCCCTTCCAGAACTACATCAAGACCATTAAGTCATATATGACTGCCTTAATTTCCTTTATTCAATTCAAAGATCTAATAAACACTAGCTCCAAATCTGGAGCTTAATATATGTGTATATATCTATCTATCACTTTGAATGAATAAGTTCTCATGGGAATAGTTATAAGGCCTGTGTCCCCTAGGTTGTGATCATTACACTGTTCTAAAATGTCAGTGGAAATCATTAAATCAGATGACTCCTGCCTAGATGAAGGAGGAGAATGGACAAGATAGCCTATGGGTTTCAATCACTCTATAAGATCATGCACGTGAGTGTTAACAAACAAGATGGTAAAGACAATTTATTCACTATGTCCCCCACCTCTTGAAACAAACCACCAGTGAGCTCATCTCCTTTCATTACCTAGCTCTCTTGCTGCATTTGTTAAAGATGCCTGCATCTTCTTTTCTAGATTAGTAATTGACTCTCTTAACTCCATCAGGTGAGGATCAAAGGATGCCTTCACAAGAAATTCATGGTTTTCCACCTGTGAATATAAAAGAATGATGAAAACTGTAACTAAATGAAGTCATTAAGAATGAAATATTTTCCCATTACTAAATGGAAAGGCACTTCAGAAGCCATTAAGCCCAGTCTGCAACAAAACAAGAATCCCACCACACCAGGGAAATGGTGAGCCAGCGTTTGCTTTAAGATCTCCAGGAAGAGGGGCCTCACTCACTACCTCTTGAAGCAATGCATTCTATTTTTTGGGTAAGTTTATCTCTCTCTCTTCTACCAACTGCTCCTAGGTCTGCCCCTGGGATCAAGTAGAATAAGTTAGATTCCCCTTCCACATATATCTGAAGGGCTATCTTTCTCAGTCTAAATGTCGCCAGTTCCCCATCCCACCTTTATAAAGAAGGATCCTTTAGATACTTATCATCCTGCCACTCTCCTCTGGAAGCTCTCTGGTCTCAATGTAATTCCTAAACCCAGAAGTGAACACAGCACTCTAGAAGTAGTCTGACAGGTGCAGAAATTAGAGCAAGAAAAATCACCTCTCTAGTCCAGAACATGGCTCTGAAGATAGCTGATCCTCTCAGTTTTCCTGGCTGCCACAATTGACTACTACCTTCCATCTGAGCTTGCAGCCTATACACATCCCCCACCTCTTTTGGATGAACCATACTTCCACCCATCTTGTAGTTACAAAGTTGATTTTTTTTTTTAGAACCCAAGTGTAAGATTTTCCATTTCCCCGGTTAAATTTTATCTGATTAGATTTATCTCAACATTCTAGCTTACTGAGATCTTTCTGAAATCCCGACTCTGCCCTACATTCCATGGAATATTAATGCCAAAAGGTTACCACATCTATTCTCATGGCCCTCACCCCAATGGATTGCTCTGGTGAGATGTATCTTAGATCCACTTTTTCCCATTCTAATTAGAAGCCCTCATTCCTATACCAAACTCTTGTGATAAATTGTTCAGGCCAACCTGTATCTGTTTATCTGCTTTTCCTCAGAAATTTGAATGAATCTTTTTTTTAGGATTTAGGTAACCAATGTGTCTATTAGCATCCATTTGAAATTTTACCAACGTGGTTTAGGAATGAGACTTTTAACACTGTTATTTATTTAAAGCAGAAAAGAAGCAGCCACCTTTCTCAAAGAAAAGAAAGGAAATTGTATCTGATCCAGTCCAGGACTGCCCTTTCTCTGGGGTTTTATACTCAGCATAAAGCTCTGCTTCTTTCCCATATTCCCCATTAATACATACCTAACAAGCCTCTCACTTATATAAATTCATCGCACCCTCAATGCCACTTTGTATCTTACTAAGAAGACGCCTCTAAATTCCTCTCTAGTACACAGGGTCCAGAGTCCGGAAGACCTGAATTCAAATCCAGTCTCAAATACTTACTATGTTACCCTGCATAAGTCAATTAACCTGTTTGCTTCAGTTTTCTCATCTGTAAAATGGGGATCATAACAGCACCTATCCTGTTAAGTTTTTGTGAGGATCAAATAAAATAGTAATTGGAAAGCACTTAACACAGTGTCTGAAACTGTAAGCCCTACAGAAATATACAGATAAGCATTGTAGAATATTCTTTTCAAATACTAAATATCATATTAATCACTTTATTTTTTACATAAGAATTGCTGCTGTAAAATCTCATAGATTCAGGATAAAAATATGGTCACTAAAATAGAATCCAAGTCGAAACATTCTTGTTATTCAACACAAATTTTAATATTGGTAGAAAGATTGGTTAGTTATTAGCATTTATTAAGGACTTATTATGTGCCAGGCACAGTGCTAAGCAGCAGGCATACAAAGAAAGGCAGAAACAGTCCCTGTCTTTAAGAGAGCTCACATTCTAATATGGGAGAATACATAAATGGGCACCTATGAGGTACGTACAAGATAGATGGAAGGTAACCTTAAAGTGCAGCCCTTCTACATTAAGTATCATTTGAACGGCATCTGGAAGGAAACCTAAAATTTGGGAGGTAGAGGTATGGTAGAAGAGCACTTTAGACATGGAGAACAGCCAGCAGAAAGGCAGGGAAATGGGAAATGGAATGTTCCTTCAGAGGAATGGAAGTAGGCTAGTATGGTTGGACAAAAAATATATGGAGTGGATAAAGGTGTAACAAGCCTGGCAAACAGGTTGTGAACTTTTTTAATATAAATTTATTTATTTTCACTTTTCAATATCTACTTCCACAAGATTTTGAGTTCCAAATTTTCACCCCATCTCACCCTTCCCCCCCACCCCAAGATGGCATGCATTCTGCATATCCCTTCCCCTAGTCTGTCCTCTCTTCTATCACTTCCCCCCTTCTCTTACTCCCTTCCCCTTCTATTTTCCTGTAGGACAGGACAGACTTCTGTACCCCCATTTCCTGTATTTCTTATTTCCCAGTAGCATGTGAAAACATTTTTTTAAACATATGTTTTTAAAACTTTAGGTTTCAATTCTTCTCCCCTCCCTCCCTCCCTAACCACCCTCATTGAAAAGGCAAGCAACTCAATATAGGCTATACATGTGCAGTTATGCAATACACTTCCATAGTAAACACGTTGTGAAAAACTAACTCTATTTCCCTTAATCCTATCCTGCCCCCCCATTTATTTTATTCTTTCCTTTGACCCTGGCCCTCCTCAGAAGTATTTGCTTCTGACTACCCCCTTTCCTAATCTGCCCTCCTCTCTATCATCCCCCTGCTCTCTTGTCCCCTTCTCCCCCTATTTTCCTGTAGGGTAAGACAGCTTTCCATACCCAACTGAATGTGTATGTTATTCCCTCCGTAAGCCAAATCCTATGAGAATAAGATTCACTCATTCCCTCTCACCTTCCTCCATTCCCCCTCCACTGTAAGAGCCTTTTCTTTTGTTTTTCTGTGAGACAATTTACCCCATTCTACCTCTCCCTTTCTTCTTTCCCGAATATAATCCTCTCTCATTCCTTAATTTTATTCTCCAGATATGACCCCTTAATCTTCATTTCACTTTTAAAAAGTTCACAACTGGAAAAACATTATATGTATGTATAGGTAGACAGATAGATAGAAGGATAGATAGAGGGTACAGGGTGAGTTGAAGAATGCGATGGAAGAAAGGGAAAGGGAGAAGTAGAATGGGGTAAATTATCTCACAAAAAAGAAAGAAAGAGCTATTACAATGGAGGGGAAGATAAAGGAGGTGGGAAGGGAACATCTGAACCTCACTCTCGTTGGACTGGCTCAAAGAGAGAATAACATACACAATCAATTGGGTATACAAATCTATCTTACCCTGCAGCAGGCCTGCACAACCTAAGGCCCACCAACCTAAAGTCCTTTGATGGACCAGAAGTAAGAGGGGAAGGGAATAAGAGAAGGAAGATGGAGAGAGGGAGGTTAACAGTCAAAAGGAAAACACTTTCGAGGAGGAATGGAGTGAATAGAAAGAGAACAGAATTAACAAGGGGGCAAATAGGATGGAGAAAAATCCAGTTAGCAATCATAACTGCGAAAAAATTTTTGAAGCAAGTTTCTCTGATAATGGCCTCATCTCTCAAATATACAGAGAACTGAGTCAAAGTTATACAAACAAGAGCCATTCCCCAATTGACAAAAGATCAAAAAATATGAACAGTTTTCAGGTGAAGTAGTCAAAACTATCTATAGTCATATGAAAAAGTGCTTTAAATCACTACTGATTGGAAAAATGCAAATTAAAACAATGCTGAGGTACTACCTCATATCTATTAGATCGACTAATAAGATAGAAAAGGAGAATGATAAATGTTGGAGAGGATGTAGGGAAACTGAGACACTAATCCACCGTTAGTGGAGCTGTGAACTGATTCAACCATTATGTAGAGTAATTTGGAACTATGGCCAAGTATTTGTAGCAGCTCTTTACTGGTAGCAAAGAATGGGAAATTGAGGGAATGCCTATGAACTGGGAAATGGCTGAACAATTTGTGGTATATGATTATGATGGAATACTACTGTGATACAAGGAATGATGAGTTACATGCCCTCAGAAAAACCTGGAGAGATTGACATGAACTGAAGCAAAGTGAAAGGATTAGAACCAGGAGAACACTGCACAAAGTAACAGCAACATTGTAAGATGATCAACTATGAATGACTTAAGTTATTTTAAGCAATACAATGATCCAAGATAACTCTGAAGGACTTCATCACGAAAAATGCTATCCATCCCCAGAGAAAGAACTAACGGAATCTAAATACAGATTGAAGCATACTTTTTTATTTTCTTTATTTTTCTAGAGTTTTTATTTTGATCTATGTTTTCTTTTACAAATGACTAAAATGGAAATATGTTTTGCATGATTACACATGTATAATCTATATCAAATTGTTTGCCTTCTCAATGAGGGGGTGGGAAGGAAGGGAGAGAATTTGGAACTCAATTTTAAAAATGAATGTTGAAAACTGTTTTTACATGTAATTGGGAGAAAATAAAATATTAAATTTAAAAAAGAAACTGCGAACATAAGAAATTTTGTTAAGCTGCATCAGAAAAAGAGATTAATCTACCTCTGATCATTGTAACCATTGCAGTTCATGAAAACTCTAAGAAAACAAAAATCCATACGTTAGTTAGAAACCTCAGAGAATACAGATTAAAAAAATAAATACTATGAGAAGAGCAATGTCCTTTAGGTACTTCAGACTATATTGAATAATTCTGCTTTTAAAAAAACCTCAATATCTTTACAGAGAAAAAAACAGCTAATTCAAATCTTCCTACTCAACGAGAAAAAAAAACTGAAATGGATACATCAATTAGGAGATCAAAATGTTATCACATCTGAAAACAAGAGGATGACTGTCCCACAGGCTCATTTCAAAGAGGTAATTATATAAAAGAACAGTTTTTTAAAATGTCAAACCCCTTAGCAATTTTAACATCCCATATTTAATTTCTTTCAAATATACCCTGAAGTATTCCATGTGAACATATTTTAAAAGCTATAGAACAAAATTAATTAATATTCAATAAAATGTGCTTACATTTTAAGTTAATGCATGTGGAGAATATGTAGCTTAAAGGAAGATTCTTTTCAAATATTAAATGTCTCATTAATAACTTCACTTTTACATAAGAATTGCTGCTGGAAAAATCTCATAGATTCAGGGTAAGAAGATGATCACTAAAATAGAATCCTAGTTGAAACATTCTTATAATCCAATGCAAATTTTAATAGTGGTTGAAACATTTCCAAAATCAGTTTGATTTTCCTACTTCTGTTTTCAACAGTATTTAAGGACATCCATGCCTTGTACCTACCTAACAAAATACCCAGCATTCCACTAAAAAGAAACAAATGAATTCACCCTCTCAAGTATTCTCCCTTCATGTTTATCTCCACTATTCCTTTGTACTTAATATTCTATACACTGGCTTTCTAATATTATTTTTTTTCTTTTCTAATTAGAAAAAAAAAATCCTCTATCACAATCTGAGATTTCTGATAATGAATTCTGCTACATCAATGACACCCAACTCCTATTTACTTTTCTGGTTTCTGTATAGCTGATATCTATTAAAACAACTCTGCCATTAAAAGTAATCTTTCCCAACTATAGTTTAATCATCTTAAATGCTTTGGGTAACAATGGTCCTACAACCAACACTCAGAAATGACAAAATCAGCTGCTAGAAAAACATAATTGTTCAAAATATTCTGGTTTTTATTTGCAAAACCATAATGCATACCTGATTCATATCTAAGGTTGTTTCTATCATTTCCTGAAACTTGGAGAAATCAGAATGTAGATCAGTCAAAGGAGTTATGAAGACTGCCAATAACAGTGATTGGTGTGTTCCTATAAGTGAGAAAGGAAAAATTGTTTCTTTAGAGAAAAAAAAGACAAAGAACAGTATGGACCATAAAAAAGTTAACATAACAACAATCACATGGCAATGTTAATAATAATGCACATCTATATAGTTTTTAATGGTCTACACCAAGCAATTCTTCAATACTACCGTGGAGATGATATAAATATTATTGTTGTTTTATGGATGAGGAAATTGAGGCTCAAAGAGGCTACTAAGTAACTTGGCCACACCTAAGTAATAAGCAGCAGAATCAAGAATCCAATACAGGTCTTAGATTCTAAGCCCTGCCTCATTCACATGGAATTCAACTCTATGTGCAGTGCCATGTTAAGGTTTCAGTCACGTTAGAACAATAACCTCAGATATTTAGTAAGGACAATTCGGGAATGGTGATGAAAAAGTCAATTTTTATTTCTCTTCTAACATGTTCTATATCTCTCCTCTTTCTCTTACTTCCTATAGTCAGTCAGCTACTAAGTCCTACTGATTCTATCTCAACAGCATCTCAAACATCAGGCTCTCTTCTCTGTCCGCATAGCTGGATCTCAGTACAGGTCCTCATGGATTCTTGTAATAGTTTCCTATTTAATATTACTGTCTCCAGCACAGGACAGAAAAAATCTTCCTTATGCAGAACTCTGGTAATGTCACTTCAATTCTCAAAAATCTCAAATAAATTATTCCCTCTTGCCTATAAACAAAAGTCATATTTCTAATCATGGCATCAAACGCCCTCCACATCTGAAACCACACTACCTCACCAATGACTATCATAGAGTAAGCATTTATAAATGCCTGTAACTTCATCTCTTACCACTTCTTCACATGCTTTTCCATATAAACTGAACTACTTATCCCCTATTTCCCCATATGCCTCCAGGATTTGGCTCACGTGATTCCAAATGCTTAAAATGTCTTCTCCATTTAATGACTCATCCATACATACTCCAAAGCCTAATCCAAATGTCTCTTCCTCAGGAGGAGTTCACCAGATCCCATTTGGTAATGGTCTTTAGCCCTTTCAGATTTCACATAACATATTGCTCATCTTTTATGTATCATATTCCACAATTACAGAATATAAGTTCCTCAACAAAAATCATGTTTTAGCTCAACGTTTTATTTCCTACAAGACAAGGCTCTGCACAAAGTAGACATTGTCATGTAAACTTGAACAATTTACTTAGCTATAGTTCTTCATCTGTAAAACAAAGGTTTATACTCAATGAACTCTCTTAAGGTCCTTTCAAATTCTAATGACTCTACTATCCTTAAAAAGCTCACCATCTAGAAGCAAATGTGTATTGTATAACCAAAGTAAAAAACTACATTTAATGACACACATTGTACAATTATTTCTGGGGACAAAGAAGGATGGTGAAAATGGGAAGGAAATAAAATTGAAGAAAATAGGATACTTCTTATCATACTTTAATAACCACAATAATGAGGTGTATTACTATCACTGTGGACTATCTTTATGCTAAACTAAATAAGCAGGAGTTTAAATGGTCAATAACTGTAGCTGCTTCCTGACATTTATTAAGTGTTAAACACTTTACAAACTTTACAAACTTAACAAACACTTAACTTAACAAAAAAAGAAAGATTCTTTTCCTACTACCACTAACATATACATAATCTACTGGCTTCCAAAAGCATCCAAAGAAAGCACACATGTATGTATAGTCAGTAGAGGGTGTAATATACAGTCAGGATTTGTGGAAGGGGTTCTAAGAAACACAAATATGTCTAAAAGTTAGGACTACTTGTATGTACCCTTATTCTAGGACTGACACTGAAGAACATGCTCATTAGCATTCTGTTTAGATATCTGAAGAATAAAGATTCTTAGTTTCATTGTGGGGGAAAAATCACCTTATAAAAGAACTTAAAGGATGCTTTTAAACAGCAAATCCCCAAAACACTCAAAATTATTTTGCCTGCCACATCATAAGTACTATATAAGTGTTAGCTATTACGAACTAACATTAATTAACTAATTAGGAGAGCACAGAAAAAAAAATCATGTTCCAAGTATTGAATCTCTTGAGAAAGTAAGGACACCCCAAGTTCAAATCCATCCACAGACATCTACTAGCTATGTCACCCTAGACATGCAAACCTAACCTATTTGCTTCAGTGTCCTCATCAGTAAAATGGAGATAATAATAGCACCTACTTCCCAGGGTTGTTGTGAGGATCAAATGAGATAATAATTGTAAAGCATTCAGCACAGTGCCTAGCACATAGTAAGTACTATACAAATGTTAACAAGCTAAATAGCTTGGATATTAGACCCTCAGAGATATCTGATGCAAAGATTTTCTCCCCAATTAACCATTCCCCTTTTTATCCTAGCTGCATTGATTTTATTCATAAAAAACCTTTTCAATGTCATGTAATCACTGTTATCTATCCTAGCCTTTCTGATCTCTAGCTTTGGTAAGGTTAAAAATATTCCATTTATGGGCTGATCCATATTCCTGTGTGTGTGATATGAGCTTCTATATTTAAACTGAGTATCCATTTGGAGTTTATGGTGATATAGGGTTTCTATACTTATTTTTGCCAAACTGCTTTCTAGTTTTCCCATAAGTTCTTGTGAAATACAGACTTCTTCCCCAAGAAGTTTCTTCTCTGCTTTACTTACAACTTTTCAGAAACAAAAATACTCCATAAAGTATACAGCCCCCTCTATCTTGTCTTCCCCAAATAATGGCTTAAGTCCAAATAGATCGACTGCAATATTAGCTAGAAAGATCAAGATCTTCTCTGGCTAATGTAATTATCTAATGAATGGATTTAGCTATAAAGTATGGGTTCCAGATGAACTTATGTGGAACATAAATACACGTTTTTGTTGTTGTTCAGTAGCTTCAATAATGTCCAACTCTTCATGACCCCACTTGGGGTTTTCTTGGCAAAAATACTAGAGTAGTTTGCCACTTCCTTCTCCACCTCACTTTGACAGATGAGGAACTGAGGCAAAGAGGGTGAAGTAACTTGTCCAGGGTCACACAGCTAGTAAATGTCTAAGGCCAGATTTGAAGTCAGGAAGGTGAGTCTTTCTGGCTTCAGGACTGGCAGAACTATAATCCACTATACCACCTAACCACCAATAAATATAGATTAATATATATCAAAATATACTTATTTGTAAACTGCCACACATGTTCCTTTACAAATAGCTAAATGAGACAGGCACACGTAGGTCAGTAGAACTGAAAACATTTCATGTTGATAAGAGGACGTAAAATAAGGCAAGAGCTAGCAGTTAAAGTAGTAAGATAATATGTTACAAACAAGTGTCAACACAAGAAAAAGTCTACTAATTTGCTGATTACTAATAAAAATTACATGGGTGCTCCTGTCACACACAGAATAACAATCCTCCATGTTAGGTCTATTGTTTCAATAACTGCTGTGACCAAAATAATTGCTATGTCCAACTTTCTGGTGATGAGCTTCTCATATTTATCTCTGCTAGCCATTATAAATTGACACAGTCACTGGGCCCTATTTTAAGACTGGCGGACACACTGGCAGATCTTGCATTCCACTGGTATTACTTTCACAATGATAAAGCATAAGAAGGGGAGACCAATGACACAGAGATAGAAGAGTATTAGAAATCCTTTATCCCTTCTTCCTACTAATAACACTGCCACCAACAAGGTGAACAATCTCCAAACCCACAAAACATACTACAATTGCCAGCCTCACAAACTGACACACCACAAGAAGGGGTCAAGGGTGCCCTATGTGCTCAGGAGAAAAGGCACTAACAGCCTAGCTATGGTGGTGAAGCAAAGCCAACTTTCCCCCCAAAAAAAGCCAAGACAGCAAAGACGGTACTGAATTTTGAATGGACTGAGCACAACTACAGATCTGAAATGATGCTGGCCACCAAGTGATCTAAAGATTGTTAAGTAATGATACAAGAAAAAGCCAAGTAATCTAGCTTTAAGTTTCATCCTTTCTGTTTTATAACAAAAAAGGCAGCTAGGTGGCCCAGTAAACAGAATGCTAGACCTGGAGTCAAGGACATCTGAGTTCAAATCCAGTCTCAAGACACTTAACTGGTTGTGTGACCCTGGGCAAGTCACTTCACTTGTCTACCTCAGTTTACTCATCTGTAAAACAGGATAATTATAGTACCTACCCCCACAGTTGTTGTGAAGAGAAAATGAGATATTTGTAAAGTACTGTGTGCTACAGCTACCCAAAATTAACACTCAGATTTTCTAGGTATAAAGTGAAAGATTTGTTACATTCTCGTGAGAAGTGGGTGTCTGCTTCGTCTGGCAGTCCGAGCGAAGCAAGGCAAGGCACAAAGGCCAGAACAAAGGTTATATAGTCCTAACACAGAGACACCCACCCACCACTGGCCTTAAATTCCCATTGGACAGGAATTTCAGCCTTACAATCTAAAATGAGAAAATCTACCCCAGAAACATTATAATACTACCAATCCTAGCTATTTTATCCTTATTTAGTATTAGCCATTACCTAATGCTGATTAACAGTACAAATCATGTGTTTTCTAGGAACCTGAAACTTAGGCCTATTCAGGCTAGTGTAACCAATCTTGAGTTTGTAACAGTCTACAAAATTGCTACACTCAGTCCATCTGAGAGATCTCACATTGTTTACATCGTTTCACTCAGTACCTTTCAAATCTTAAAAGCACTATATAAATGCCAGCTACTGTTATTGTAATAAAAAGCTTTAAATTTATAATCCCTGGAATCATGTTTGTTACTCTGGAAGGGAAAAGCTTGAGTAAACCAAGACAAACTATGCGAAGTTTCTCCCATGAAGGAAAAACTAAATCATACTTGAACACATGGCTGAGTATATATAACCCTGATCTAATACTGAATTACATTTGAATGTGATTCATTCACACAGATGTGTACTAATGAATCTTACCTCAAAATCTCCTGTCATTCATTAAGGCCAAACTGGAGGGGGGGGGGAG